TTATTATTATTATTTAGAAGCAAAGAGAGCTGGTTTTGCAATCTTTAACTTCATATCTAAAGGAGAAGTATAATGAAGTCAAGATTTCAAATTCCTGGCTCCATTTGACTTTAGTGGACACCAGGTAATTTTCTATGTCTTTTTCTTCTAATGCATGGTCTGGTCCCCAGGCTAGACATCAGGGTTGGACCATCATTTGCTGAATTTACCATTTTGGGGTCTGTAGCTCACTACTGCTCTTCAGCACATGCTCTTCAGCACAGTTGTGTGCATATGGTGTGTGTGTGTGTGTGTGTGTGTGTGTGTGTGTGTGTGTGTGTGGTGTGCTGGGATTCCCAGAGGAGAAAAGGCTGCAGCCAATGGTAGCGCCATCCTCCCAGCTCTGGGGCTCTGCAATAGGTCTTCTTCCTCACCCCTAGATATTCTGCAGGATTCTTCAGGAAAGGGGACTGCTCCTCCTCACAACCCCTGTTCCTGGCAAGCAGTGACACGTGGCACATAGTAGGGCAGCTGAATGATCTGGAAAACCTTCGAGAACAGAATACCGTTAATTATTTTGGAGTGACATCATATCCCTTTTCTACCTAGATACCTATCATGTGACTTTCCAGAATAGTTTTATTCCCAGATTGAAGAGAACTGAACGACCTTGACAGAGCGAGAAGTCACAATTGGACAATGATGGCAGGATTTTCACTGAAGTTTCCTCTGTCATTATTTCGACTCTATAGGCAGAGTCTATTGACATGCCCTGCTGTGTAAGCTTTCAGTAGAGGTACACAATCACTAACCTATCATTTTATGTTTCTAGTCTTAAACATTTTATGTTTACTTTAATTGATTACATAAAGTTTGCAACCTGTCCCTAAACAATATGCAATTGCACTGCTCTATTATCCACTCATGTTTAGTTCTTTTATCGTTTAGGTAGAAAAAGAATGAACATAGCATCAGGCCAGTGTGGCTCAGTTGGTTGAATGCTATCCCATGTGCCAGGGGGTCGCTGTTTCAATTCCGGTCAGGGGACAATCCCAGGTTTCGGTCTCAATCCCCAGAGGGGTGGGGGGTGGTGCTGCAGGAGGCACCCATTCTCAGTTTCTCTCTCATCGATATTTCTCTCTCTCACTCCCTCTCCCTTCCTCTCTCTATAAAATCAATAAAAACATTTTTTTAAAAAAAAGAATGAATATGGCAATTATAGATCTGCTTAACCATATGTTTGAAGCAAGTCAATTTATTTCACAAAATAATATTTAACATCTGCTAAGAACATTGCCCTGCTATGAACAGATGAGTCATATTCCTTTTTAACATTTCATTTTATGACTAAGGGGGGAAAGGAGCAGAAAAGACAATGTTTTCCTATTTATAAGAGCTATCTACAGTAAAATGGCATTTCTAAGATTTTTTTTAACCCTATTTAAAATATTTCCTCACTGCCAAACCTGTTTGGCTCAGTGGATAGAGGGTCAGCCTGCAGACTGAAAGGTCCCAGGTTCGATTCCAGTCAAGGGCATGTACATTAGTTGCAGGCACATCCCTGATAGGGGGTGTGCAGGAGACAGCTGATCAATGTTTCTCTCTCATCGATGTTTCAAGCTCTCTATACCTCTCCCTTCCTCTCTGTAAACAATCAATAAAATATATATTTAAAATGTTCCCTTATATTTTGTTGGGTAAGCTATCATTTGTTAATATATAGTTGTTGTTTTTTTTAAATTTGAGAGAATATATGCTTGAATAAAAGGGACTAGCTAAAAAATGTCTTCACCTTTCAGAAAAGCCAATGAATTTTTCAAAAGTAAACAACAGTGGGGAATAAGAACATCTCTGTCAACATCAGCTCCAAAACTTAAAATCAAAGAGGATTATCACTTTGCTCTACATTAAAGTGCCATTTATTCTGGAATACCTCGTGCTAATCGGTGTTTTGGAAGTGAGTGATTTTCGTGCCTTTTCATCTAAGCAAAGAAAACAGTGATAATGGACATCTTCCAGCTGCATACGACAGCCAATAGTTTTATTTGGATTAAGAAATGCAATTGTTTTTAGAAGTGGAGGGAGAGGAACGTAACACTGACATGTATACTTTGATGCCATCAAATTTGGAACTTGAGTTTGCACGACATTTCCAGTTTAAAAAAAAAAAACACAGCAAAAATAAGCAATGGACTCTAGTCTTACCAGAGCTTAATTTTCTCACCAACAGGACCTAAAGGTGATTTATAACCTGCAATTAGTTGAAATAAAGGTAACCAAAAAAGAAAAAGAAGATTGGATGCCAAATCTAATAGCATCCTCACACAGAATCTTCATGATGGCCTGTGTACTTTTTAACCACACTAATGTGACTTATCCATGTAACAATGTCTAATGATGCCTGAAACTATATTTATGAATGTTTGTCACAGAGTATTTATAATCACAGAAGTACGTTTTTGCCTACTTATCACTGCCATTAATAGATAAAAGGTGTCCCATGGTTAGCAAAATAAAATGCTTATTAATCAGGAAGAAATCATTAAGCCATTCTAAGGGGATTTGAGGTAATTTCTTCAGACTCATAATGTCTACTAAAATATGTGATCAAGCACCATCTGTTACTACAGAATTTTAAATGCTTGCAAAACCCCCAACTACAGTACGACACAGCCATTCTCTTAGGTTAGGCAAATACCCACTTTTTGTCAAACCTACTTCAAATCAGGCACAAAAAAGGGCGGGGGGAGGGGGAGAATACCCAATTCTTTCCTGGTGTTTTCCTTTATCCTAATGAACTATGACAAGCCTTTCTTACGTCCTGAGGATTTATACATTGAACTACCACTCCCTGTTTATTTTCTTCCTTAGAGTCGGACATTCTCTGCAGGATCTAAGTAGATCCTTTGGGGGACTTCAATATTAATAACTTTGTCATAGTAGATTCACTTTAAAATGGGGATAACTTTTTGTAGGTTATCCATGTCATCCAAATTAAACTTGGCAGACCTTTGTTTTTTAATCTTTTATCCTCTCTGTCATACGCATACATGCACATAGTGTGTGCACATGTGTGCATACACACACAAGGTCTGGCCCCACAGTCCTCCAGAATCTGGAGTTCAGACTGTTCTCCTAGCATAGGGCACAGCTGGGTCTGGGTAATCCCCGATCCCAAGGATTCAAGCCAACTCAGACTCAAATTTGGAGGTGTGGGGCTCTTCCCAGACCTCACCATGGACATACTTGGGCTCTTATGACCTGCCAGCTATTAAAATCCCAGCTGGGTAGAATAGGGAAGGAAGTATAATTACAACCTCCATCTCTCAGAGGTGGGAGAACAAGATCAGAATGAACTGGCCCAGGTTGCCTCTCTGAGGATGGCTTTTGTACTTCAAAAGTCAATGTTTCATGCAAAAAATAAATAAATAAATAGTCTGCTTTTGACAAATGTTAAGTAATTTTTCATTTTAAAGCCATTTCACCACACTATCTCTTTTCTGCACAGATATTACAACAGATTTTTTTAAAAAGAGAACCATTTTCTCTGTTTCATCTCCCTCGCCCTCTTTTTCTTCCTGGTGTGTGTGGCAGCTGCTGTTTGATCTGTTCATTGGCTCTGATTTGTTTCATGTTTCAGCCAAAGATGAAAACTACTCTGTAATTTCAAGCAGATGGGCCTAGGAGTGCAACCCTATAATTATACCTTCTCTCTCTGGCCTTCGATTTTGCATGCCTTCCACCCTGACTTTTAAAGTCTGGGGATCACCAGAGTGCAGAATACACCTTGGTGATCAAGCAGGTCTGGTCCAGCCCCACATGTTTGCAAGGCCTGTGGACTGCACCGCCCAAGCCCCCTGCCCCAAGCAATACTCCAGAAAAAAAAAAAAAAAGAAAAGAAAAGAAACAAAATAAAACAAAAAACAACCAGGGAAAGCGTGCAGGTTAACCTTCCTAGGTCTTCGAGTGTGGTCACAGCATGCTGGGCAGTGCTCGCTACAATGAGCCCCATCCATCCATCAGTCCTTGTCCTGGAGGGTGCTGAAGGGATCTGCAGAGGTTGGGGGCGGCTGTGGGAGGTACTGAGGACTGAGAGCCACGCTCCTGGTGGAGACTCTCCGTGGCACAGTCAGGTGTCCCCACGGAGGGAAGCTGGCTCAGGACCTCTGCATCAGCACCCTGCGTTCTGCCGCTGCCTGTCCTGAGGGTCCAACACCATGCTAGCCCACAACCTGCCTTGGCGGCTTCCAGGCAAGTGTGTTCTTTTTCTCAGAGCCATTCCTGGAACGCTTTTAAGGCGCCGGTGTTCTCTGGGTAAGAGTTTACTAGAGCTCCTGAGAAAAATGTGGCACATGGAGCAACAGCCACAAAACGATCAAGCCACGGCACGAAGGGGGGAAAGGAGTCAGGTCCCGGTGAATTTAGGAGACTGGTTTTCATTAGTACCCCCTTGGCCATCAGCAGTCCCCCTGCGCCCGGAGGCTGCGTCCGGTCTACTTGGGAGAGAACCCCATCACCAGCCTTTCAGAAAAACACTAGTTCTAGGAAGGGACCCAGAAACCCCGCGCGCGAGAGCTGTTTTTCTGCTTCAATAATCCCAGTTTCTCTTCCCGGTCCCCTAAAAGCGTGGACCCCATCAACAGCCCGTCCTGCACTGACACTTTGGAAACAAGATCGCGGAGCCTGCGATTTCATGACAGCCTACAGCTTGGAAACCCAGCAGTGGAAAAAAGTTTTCCCGGGGGCTGGAGGCAGCCGATGGAGGAGATAAAAAGTCCGTCTGGTGTGGGAGGCTCTGCGCGCTTCCAGAAAGAACGCTCCAGACGCCCGGGCTCCGGGCGCTGCCGGGGGAGAGGGGCGCGCAGCCTGGGAAGCGGGCGAGGAGGCAGCGGGACTGCGCGGGGACCGGAGCCGCCGCGCTGGATTCAGGCTCCGCGGGGGGATGTCTGCGGCTCGCGGGGCTCCCGCCCTCGGGCTCCGGCGGGCCATCCGTGGCCACCCGCCTCCTCCCCGCAACTCACCGTGGAGCAGGAGGGCCGGGAACAGGCAGGTGAGCAGGAGGCGGCACAGACAGGACATCTCCAGTCCTCCTCCGGGACCCCCGGCGCGCCCCGAACCGCTCGAGCCGCTAGGCGTCCGGGGCCCCTGCCTCCAGCCCGGGAAGACGGCAGCGAACGGGGCGAGTGCTGGGGGGCGCGGGGACACCGGGGCGGACCGGCTCCTCCGCCCCAGCCTGCGGGCGGCCGGGCCAGGCCGGCGATCAGGCGGCCGCGGCGCGGGGCCCCATCCCCGGGGGGCGCGGCGCGGGGGCCGCGGGGGGCGCGCTCCCTCGGCGCCGGCGGGCCCCGCGCGCCCGCCCCGACCGTGTCCGCGCTCCGGGTCCCTCCGCGCCCGGCCCCGCCGAGTCCCGCCCCGGCCGCCGCCGCCGCGCGCGTCTCTCCGAGCTGCCGGGGCCGCCACTGCCGCCGCGGCCGCAGCGCCGCTTCTTCATATTTCCCCGGCGCCGCCGGCGGGGCGGCCGGGCCGCGGGGCGGAGGAGGGGCCGGGGGAGGGGTCGGGAGGGAGGCGACGGGGGAGGCGACGCCGCGCCACCGCCCCCTGGGCCGCCCGCCGCGGGGGGATGGGGGCGCGGGGACTTGAAAAGGCGCGTCGAGCACCTCCTCTCCCTCCCTGGCCAGCCTCCTCCCTCCACCCCCTACTCCCCCCTCCTCTCATCTTCTCCCCTCCCCTCCCCTCCTTCTTCTCTCTCTCCTGCCTCTTCTCCCGCGCTCCTCCTCCCCATCCAAGGCCTCCTTCCCTCCGCCCCCTATTCCGGACCCCTCTGATCCCCAGTGTGCCCCTCTCCTGCCCCCGGGCTCAGAGCAACCTTTTCCCTCCTCCTCCCCAGCTGCCCACTCCTTGGGAGCTTCCTTCTGCGAAGGGCTGACAGCCTTGGCACCGCCTGGAGCGGGACAATGTGCCCTCATCTCCCGGCCTCCACTCCAGGCAGCTTGGGACCCTTTCTGTTCCCTCAACTGGGATGGGCGCGCCACCTGTGGAAGGTGCTCCAGAGGGAGGGTGGGGCGCCCCCCGCTGCGAGTCTCAAGTGGGGTCTGAGAAAAGCTGGGTTGCAAAGATTGGGGTGAGAGACAAGAGAGAGAAAAGAGAAGAGAATGGAAGGGAAGGGAGAAGGGAGAAGGGAGAAGGGAGAAGGGAGAAGGGAGAAGGGAGAAGGGAGAAGGGAGAAGGGAGAAGGGAGAAGGGAGAAGGGAGAAGGGAGAAGGGAGAAGGGAGAAGGGAGAAGGGAGAAGGGAGAAGGGAGAAGGGAGAAGGGAGAAGGGAGAAGGGAGAAGGGAGAAGGGAGAAGGGAGAAGGGAGAAGGGAGAAGGGAGAAGGGAAGAGAAGAGAAGAGAAGAGAAGAGAAGAGAAGAGAAGAGAAGAGAAGAGAAGAGAAGAGAAGAGAAGAGAAGAGAAGAGAAGAGAAGAGAAGAGAAAAAGAAGTGTTGAGTCCTGGACAATTGCTCAGGGTGGGGATGCCGCAGTGCCTTGCTCCCTCAGTAAGGCAGCGCTTGTTGTAACTGAAAATCCCCATCACAGCTTAGTGCCTGGGCTCCGGTGGAGAGCAGGGAGCCCTGCCGCAGGTCCCAACCTGTGAGGGAATGGTGTGGGCAGCAGGAGCCCTTTCTGCTTTCCTCCCCCTTCCAGAGGCAAAGGACTTGTTGAAACACGGGAGAAATCTCAGAGCAGACTGCTCCCTGTCAGTCCCCCTCAAAGTGCACCCAAGCCCCTTCTGTGAGCAGTCCTCTCTTCCAGGACAACTCTTGCTCTTAAGTCCCAAAGGCAGAAATGACTTCCACCTCTTAGTTCCCCAGGAGCAGGTTTATTCAGTCTCCTGGGCAAATGTTACCTCCTCCTCATGCTAAGCGGAGGCCATGGGACCAGATGGAATCAAGAGAACATGTTTTGACTCAATTGTGCTGGTGTTTTTCATAAATAAAGCATTTAAAAAAGAATGCCTGCTTTTCTAAGAGACTGCTCTGCCCCTTACAACAATGTCATCATTAACTCCTTATGCTTTAGAGTTTCAAAACTAGTCAGACCTTAACATCAGTGTGCAAATTAGTAAAATAGATATGTAAGTTTCCACTTTACTTTACTTGTGTTTCTTTCTTCCTCTCGTTCTTTGTTTCTTTCTTTCTTTTTCCCTGAGAAACCTATGGGTCTTTTGATGTGACAGAGCTGATACTGTTTGCTGTGCTTTAATTTTTATCACCTTTCCATCTTTAATATGAAGGATCCTAATTCATACCACCTGCCTAGCTCACAAGGATGTTGTTAGGATTAAAGTGCCAGTGTTTGCAAATCTTGAAGATGAAAGACTCCCTGCCTGTGAAAAAAAGGGAAGATTGTCATCATAGTGCCTGTGAGCAGGAGCACTGTTTTGAGTTGGCCTTGCTCTGCAAGCATCTTTCTGGGTCAGCTTTGTTCCTCATCGCTCTGTGGTCGCTCTCATTTGTCTCTGTTCCTGGGTTTGGTGATGACTTGTGGGTTTGAATGTTGCCCAAGGGTCAGTCAAGTTTCAAACAGCAACTTGATTTCCTCAAGAGTGCTGGGCAGTTGAAAATGATGTAAACAGCATCTTCAGCTGCTTAGGCAGAACATCAGCCTTATCATCAAGCACACAGCTAGGCAGTGTCTAACTTTTCTAGGTCTTTTAGTCACTTGATGCCTTTTAGCCTATCAGGGAATATTTGAAAGAAGCAAACAACAGAGGAGAGTATTAGGGATGATGTGTTTATGTATAAGCAACTGGGTTGACAGTAATTAAAAATGTTAAGGTCATTTATCACACGTTAGCAACAATTAAATAATACATTTACTTAATTAATTATTTGATTCTGTAAAAAAGAGGAAGAGGGAAACCAGCAGGTCAGCATAATTTGTGTCATCTTGACAGTCAAGATGATTCAATTTTTGTTTTTCCAACTGGTTTCACTGGTGTTATATAAACATAGCCAGGCTGAAGTCACCAGTTTGAAATTTTTTTGCTAGTTTATTTTCTTCATGTAGCAGCGTCATAGATTTACATTCTTGACCTTCAACATAGCATCTTGCTGCAATTGCTGCTCCCACTACTTCTGCTTGTCTACAAGGTACAGACTATAGCTCTAGGGTTCCCTTTCTGTATTCTTTTCATGTTCACTGTAGTGTACTCACTTCTGGAGGAGAATGATGGGGGCGGGGGGAAAATGCAGTCTACATTTGTCTTCGAGTGATTATATGTGGATATATGCTTAGAGTAATAGGATTGGGAGGGAGGTATTTCCAGGAAGGTGTTATGAGCTCCTACTCAGAATCCGTCCACCTGAAACCAGCACAGAATTTTTGAGAAACACTTACTATAAGATTAGTTCTGTTATAAATAATTGCATATCAAACATTTATGATAAGTATTTCTTTAATTCACTGGATATGTTTTCATTATACAAAACAAAATTTATTTTAATTCAACTAACCATCTGCCATTTTAATTGTTCATATTCCTCCTCCTCCTCCTCTAACATAACATCATATTCAATAGTGTTTATTTTTGACATAAATACTTTGACTATTAGCCTCTCTTTACAAATGGGAAAAAGCTAAGGACAAAGAGGTTGAGTGATTTGTCTGAAAATCATACAACTTATGAGGTAGAATCAATAGGTTTTATAACTCCCAGTAAGATGCTATTTTCAGCTCTAAGGTTATACCCCCCCAAAATGTGGGGTTTTTATTTACCTTTCAGGAGTAGAAAGTTAATTTTGTGTTTTGAGACATTCAAGCTAAAAAGAAAATGCTGTATAAGCTATTTGGACATTTATTATAGTTAGGTTCTGAATGCTTGGTGTGGCATTTCATGGTCTTATGTGTAAAATATTCAAACAGTTTAGTTTTCAGAACAGATATTACAAATCTATAAAATATGTGGGTAGACCAGATAGCTACTAAAATGCATCCTACTAGCTGCTGTGAGTCTCTGAACTCTTCAGTATAGGACTTGACCAGTCCTTTAAGGATGTACATGTCTGTGTTACTGTGTATTGAGTTGTGCATATACAGCCATTGTAAACATGTTCCATCTACCTGAGCGCTAGGCTCTAACTCAGAGCTGAGATTAAACAAAACAGTCTTCTAGGCCAGCAGTCTCCAACCTTTCAGACTTCACGGACCACCGGTTGGTGACTGCTGTCCTAAGCCACTAAATTCAAGGTCACAAAATCCATAGCGATGCTTCATCTCTGTATTTTTAACACTTTGTAATTCTCAAAAGACTCCAAATACCTGGTCTCTTTTGATCTTCATGCAATTTTGTGAAGACCAGATGACAGCCAGGGCTGTTCTGATTTAGAGATGCAAGTTTGAAGTTGGGAGAGTTTTACAATGTCTCTACAGATTTTCTCAAGACATACAACACACCACAATCTGAATTTCTAGACACTACAATACTTCATTTATGTGGGAGCATATCAGACCTTCACTTAGAATCTGTTTTGGTTTTGTTTTTCCTTATACAGAAACTTTGAGTTTTTGCTGCCTCTAACCTTTAGGCAGACAGCAGGAGGGAAGCTTTTATAAATAGACACAGGCACTCAAAAAGCCACAGAGTTCAGTTGAAAATAAATTAACCATATCAATCTAGGAAAACATCACATGCATATAAAAGTTAGTTTCTCACATTTTGTCTCTGGAACTTTTTGTATGCTTTAGCCTGGTAACAAAATGAGTAGCTATTCCTAAACTCTCAAAAGTTTCCTGCAATGGACCCACTGAGTCAAATGAAAAGCAACAAATATTACTGGAAAATAAACAAGGAGGTAAGAAATTGGATCAAACACACCAACCAAGCTCATAGAGCAAGGGTCAACAAGATGGTAAACTCATCCCGAACAAGAGAGCCAGCTTGTTTAGGAAAGATTCTGTGTGTCAGAGCCTAACGCTGACTAGTTGGCTGACCCCCATGTCAGTGGGGATGGCCATACAGCTGTGGGCAGAATAGCATGACTGCGAGCGAGGTTGGCTCACAGTCACCACCACACATGGTGTCCACAGATGCTCCAGAG